ATCTGTTCAGAAATACTGATCACACCAAAATAATTATTTGCGCAATATTTTGACAGATGTGTCTTTTGTTTGCCACACTGTGATCCTTTTATTTCACATGATACATCTTTTGTTTTGAGATTTCTCGCTGGTTTTTCCATGTCCTTTCTGTATAAACGAGATTACTTAATTTTTTATTAAATATATAAAGAGATGCTCTGTTTTATGCCTTTGTTCTAAGTCTCTCTGATACATTTGCTGTCGTTAACCAATTACAGCAATAGACGACACAGCAGTACTAGTAATCAAGACAGTCTTAATGTGTTTTTTGAGCATGTAGTATAATGTTTGTTTATTGCGGCTGTGATGTACCATGCCGCTTTATATGAGCGTTTATGCTTTTTAATACCAAAAGGGAAGGCACGGGCTACAAAGATTTGTGATCAAAGATAGTGTTATGAAGTAGTGAGTAACAAAACAAGAAGTAGGAAAGTAGGCAAAGTCTTCTATCCGGTGGAGAAATGTTGTATAAATATTGCTCTAAGCTATTGATTTGCTATAAGCACCATCAGGACCTTTTGGAGATTACCGTTAGATGGTAAATAGGGAAAAACATATATTTTTTTAATTTCTCAAAACGTGAATGAGTAATTGAGGTGAGCACAGACTAGAGTGAAATGAGTACTGTAAATCAGTAGTAACTCCACAACATGGAGAGATAGATAGATAGATGGATAGATAGATAGATAGATAGATAGATAGATAGACTGTAGATAGACACCTACGGAGAGAGAGAGAGAGAGGTACTGTAGATAGACACCAGCGGATAGAAATCGAGAGAGATATACTGTAGATAGACACCTACGGAGAGAGAGAGAGACAGTAGATAGATAGATAGATAGATAGATAGATAGATAGATAGATAGATAGATAGATATATAGATAGATAATGTAGATAGAGAGACAGAGAGATAGATAAATACTGTATATAGATAGAGAGAAATAGATAGATCGATAGAGAGAGAGCTACTGGAGAGAGAGAGGGACTTTAGATAGATAGATAGAAACATAGATATAGTGTAGATAGACACTTATAGAGAGACAGTAGATAGAGAGAGAGATTGAGGGAGAATGAGAGACATTGAGGGAGAATAAGAGAGATTGAGGGAGATCGAGAGAGAGATTGAGATTGAGCGAGAGAGAGATTGAGGGAAAAATAGAGAGATTGAGAGAGAGAGAGAGAGAGAGAGAGATTGAGAAAGAGAGATAGATGGATAGATCAAAAGAGAGATACTGTAGAGTGATAGATAGATAGATAGATAGATAGATAGATAGATAGATAGATAGATAGATAGAGAGATAGATAGATAGATAGATAGATAGATAGATAGATAGATAGATAGATCGATCAATAGAAATGGGAGATACTTTGTGTTTAGTCATTACTACCTGTTAATAGTAAATAAAACTGAACTCCAGGCAAACAACTCATACACAGATAGAAAACATTTACTTCTTTTACTTATTACAGGTATTTACTGTATATAATAACAATTCCCCCAGTTCTTTTACATAAGGAGCCAATTAATCTACAAGCAGGTCTGTGGAGTTTGGGAGGAAACACACACAAGGACATGGAGATCTGTGAGCTGTATTACTTGTCCAAGTCTTTGTATTTCTGTCCATCCAGTTCTGAGGTTTACATAACTGTGCCACTCAGCACAGCCCTGTCTGGAAGAGGAAGAGACGTGAATTCTCTCTCAGTCCAGTAACAGGTTTTCTCCCTACCCTCATGACTAGAGAGTGACAGGAGAAGCGGCAGACTGATGAGCTCATCCCTCTGTCACCCTGCTCTGTCCTATCAGCATGCTCCTTGCGCTGCAGCCATAACGGATAGGCTAGGCTCCTTGTATTGTTTCTCTCTCCACCAGTCAGAGCTCTGATGTAGAATGACTGCAATAGACGTATACAAAGTCAATATCAGGTACTCAAACAGCTTGTATGAACAAAAATGATGTTTTAATGAATACAGTGAGGGGAATTTATCAAAACTGGAACAGACAAAATCTGGTGCAGACATGCCTGGCAACCAATCAGCTTCTCTCTTTCATTTTCAAATCTTAACTGAACAATTTGAAGAGATAAGCTGATTGGTTGCCGTGCACAACTGCTCCTGATTTTATTTGCTTCAGTTTTGATAAATCCCCCTCATAGTATTTTATATCTGCCGAGAGTTCAACTTTAATAACGGTAACACTGTACTGTAGCGTGTGATTCAGTTGAAAATTGCTACATTCAGCCATTGAAAGGGGTCTGTGCAATATTTCTATGGTGCTAATTCACTGGGCTGCTTGTGACTTGGCCACTATGAGGCACATTTGTGTTTGGACACTGACAATCAATACGCAGCAGTATACAAGAAGAATATATACTGTCTACCTGATCATAATGATAATATTCAGTAGGGATGCACCGATACAGGTTTACCAATATCAAGTACGAGTACCGATACTTTTTTTATCGGTACTCGCCAATACTGAGTACCGATACTGTAATCCCGAGGTAGCGTAGGCCTGGGTTCCCGGCCAATCA